TCCCCCATCTCAGCCCCTTAAATTAACGTCTGGTCGGACTGCCTCCCGGCCTGGTTCACTGGGCCTGCCCGTGGGGCCTGCCTCATCCCTTTGAGGACGAATGTGTCCGATGGTCTATTTATTGTAAAAATTAACACTATTAGAGAAGTCATGCCAAGAGCTTTCCGCTCAGGCGGAGAGCAGAGATCCCAAATGGACTCCATTCCTCTTTTCCGAGTCTGATCCTGAGGGCGGGAGCGTGGATTCACAGCTGTGCTCAGAGCTGCCGCAGAGCAGGTCCTAACCCCTCTGCTGACTGATCTCCGCGGGGACCTGCGGGGACTGGCAAGTTGGTTATTCCTCTTTGTTCCGCTGCAAGTCTTCAAAGCCCGGTGAGGCCGAGTGTCGTGCCTCAGCGGCTGGGAGGTTCTGTGATCTCACTTTCCACAGCGCTTGGCTCATTGAGGGGGGTTCCCGGAGCCGGGGGCTCCTCTGCGAGAAGGTGGGGAACGCTCTCCTCACTCAGTCAGGCCGCCAGCCCCCCTCCGGAGCGGGGACCACAGGTTACGCACCGTTTTATCCTCCGTGCTTCATGCCGGCGGAGGATGGCCTGTGAAATGCCTTTTCTGGAACACACACAAGTTCATGATGTGACTGCTCTTTGCCGACTGTCACGGACTCTGTTGTTTGATAGCTTCATTGGCCCGCCCTTCGCCAGGCCTGGGGCGTAAGTGCTTGTCACTGATCGGACATCACTTGCTTTGCGATGCCTTCTTTTTTATTTTTTAAAAAATATTTTATTGATTTTTACAGAGAGGAAGGGAGAGGGATAGAGAGTTAGAAACATCGATGAGAGAGAAACATCGACCAGCTGCCTCCTGCACACTCCCCACTGGGGATGTGCCCGCAACCCAGGTACATGCCCCTGACCGGAATCGAACCTGGAACCCTTGAGTCCGCAGGCCGACGCTCTGTCCACTGAGCCAAACCGGTTATGGCTATGCCTTCTTTTTTTAAAAAAAATCTTTTAATTTTATTTCTGACCACAATAGCAAAACATGCTCATTATGGAAATTTGGAAAATCCCAATGAAGAAAAAAGGAAACCTGTAACTCTAAAATTGTGTAAGCTTCCATTTTACCATGAACATGTCTACAGATTGTTACAAAGAATCATCACCCTATACACGCATTTACCTCTCTCACTGAACAATATAATGTGCACGTTTTTCTGTGTCATCTGATGCTTTTCATGGCTGCATGGCATTCAACTGCCATTATATTATGTGTCCATTTTTTTCTCTAGCAAACTGTGTAATGAGCATCCTTAAGGACAAATCATTGTGCAAATATATGGGCATTTTCTTGGGGTAAATTCTCAGAAGTAGGATTGCTGGCTCATAAAATATGGATATTTTTAAGGCTTTTGGGGAGCTAATGCTACCAAATCACTCTTTGCTGCCAATGGTAATGTCTTCATCCTTGGTCCCGACGCCAGTCCTCGTGGCACCGCTGGGCAGTGTCTAAGTGCCCTGGCCGCCCAGCGGGCACGTGCTGCCAAGAGCCGACCTGTGTGGCCGGGGCCTCCTCCTCCCGTGGCCCTTGGTTCCCTTCAGGGAGCTGGTCCTCCAGGGTCTGCGCTGCCCATCGCTTCCTGTGCAAATGCTTCTCTTAAACGTGGCAGTGAATGCAACCTCCAAGTCGAGACTGTGGGTATTCAACCCCAAGCAGGGCCTGTGGGTAAGGCATCTCCCCCACCTGAGAACCCCAAGCAAGGCCTGCAGGCAGGCCCTCCCTGAGAACAAGGCCCTCTCTCAGAGGCCAGCGTCAGCGAGGCCTCTGCCTCCGAACTATTCCAGCCACAGGGATTATGCGCCTGGGGGCTGCCCTGGTCTGCAGGGTCGGCCGTGGCGATTTTCCTGCAGAGCGAGCTGAGGTGCGTGGGCCAGGCGGCCCTTTAAAGCCATGGCTGACCGTTCTCTGGGGCCTTTGCAGGTGCCAGCAGCACGTGGCCAGAGAAGAAGGTGTTCACTGGGATGTCCCGGGCGGTCCGTGCACACGTCCGGGCTGCTCGGCCAATGGGAACCCATTGCTAATGGCTGGCGGCGCCACGCGGCCTGTTTGAGGCTGTTCCCGGCCCCGGGCCGCCGGGGGAGTGTCTGGCAGGAGGACCAGAGGCCTGTTTTCAGGGAGGCTGCTAGCGACTGTCTGCGGACTCACAGGGCAAGGCCCATTCTGTGGAGCCCACACGTTTCAAAGAAAAGTGTTTTCATCAACTAGCCTCACCGCAGTGCTTCTGTGTTCCGAAAGCCCAGGAAAAACTTATTTCTAAGTATCTGGCAGCGAAAGGTTGAAGGTGGGCATGCGTGCGTGTGCGTGCATGTGTGTGCTTGCATGCGTGTCCAACATGTTGCATGTGTTTTCAATAATCCCAGCATCTTCCCCTCTAAAAGGAAGCAGGAAATACAACTGCAGACTTTGAAATTTAATTTTTAACAGGATGTGTCTTTAAATAATCCTAACATATCAAAAGGAAAATGTATCCTTAAAAGCTTTAAAAATATTATCAAAGTAATGGTGAAGCAAATGCAGTGCCTTTAATTTAAATTTTTTTTTAAGGATGGCGGTGTCTGAACACTGAACACGGAATTTCAACCGAGGATCAAAGGCGACAGTGGCGCCTGTGCCCGGGATGCCGCTGCCTCACAGTTTATAATCAGTTATCACAGGACCATTAAAAGCCTATTAGCTGGCATTCCCACAATTCCTCAGGGCAAGGGCAGAGAGAGAGCAAAATAACTTTGAATGCAAATGGAACACAGCGTTGCCAGGAGAGGGTCTTTTAATTACGGCAGCGAAGGGCAGCGTCCCTGGATGCACCCGCCCCAGCAGCGGCCGAGGAGAGGATGCAGTGTGAGGTCTGAGCGTGCTGGGAGGTGAGGGAGCTGGTTTCCTTGGGAAGAGACTGACTGGAAAGCGGGGGGCCGGGTCCAGACCCCCCCGCTGGGAGGAGGAAGAGCAGGGGCCTGTGACCGTGTGCTCACTGCTGGGAGGTTGGTGGACTCGCACTGCGCCCTGGCGGATCCAATGAGCCTGAGCAGGACCTCGGCCAGCGGTGGGCGCAGAAGCCCAGCGCACCTCCGAGCCATCGTCAGCTGAGAAGTTTGATTCATGTTTTCCCACCCGAAGGCGCCTCCGCTGACATGTCCCCTGGTAGCGCGATGAGGGGCTGCGCGGTAAGACAGTGCCCTCGAGACACCGTCCTGAGACTTCAGAGAAAACACTAGAACAGTGGTTCTCAACCTTCTGGCCCTTTAAATACAGTTCCTCATGTTGTGATCCAACCATAAAATTAATTTCGTTGCTACTTCATAACTGTCATGTTGCTACTGTGATGAATCGTCATGTAAATATCTGATATGCAGGATGGTCTTAGGCGAGCCCTGTGAAAGGGTCGTTCGACCGCCAAAGGGGTCGAGACCCACAGGTTGAGAACCGCTGCACTGGAGGGATGTGGGCAAGAAAGACAGCTGACGGTTTGGTGACAAGTAAGGCAGAAGCGGTGTGTGGGTGGGGGAGGAGCCTGCAACCGAGGTTCGTGGCCTTGACTGGAGTCAAGCCCGGACCCTTGGGTCCACAGGCGGACACAGTATCCACTGAGCCACACCGGCCGGGGCATGATTTGCTCTTTATAAAGAACTGGTCTTGGTGGTGGCCTTCACGCTGTGTAAAAACGGTGCCGGGCGTAGCAAGTGCTCAGTAAACTTGCTGAGTAAACCCTGCCGTGTGCTCCGTGCTGCCTCACACACACTCCAGTGGGTCGTTCCCGACCTCTGCGCTCCACGCGGGCCCGGCGTGTGCGGAGGCAGGACGGGCCTGACCCTCCGGTGTTCCCAGCCCCCGGGGTGGATCCGAGGGCCCCGCGTGCTCCGAGGTTTGTTTTCAGAACGATGGGCCGCCAAGTTCAGCCCCGTAACTCAACCCTCTGAAAACAGACACATCCACCAGGAACAGCCCCATCCCAATCTGGGACCGAGAAATCCCAGCCGGAGAAACACAGAATTCTGTTTTCCCTGGCCGGGTTTCCTGCACTCCGTTTGCTTGTCTTGGATAATTGGCCGGAACTTTACACCAGCCTTCAAAAGCGGGGAATCGGGACCCACCTCACCCAGCGACCATAAGCCTTGTTGACGGGACGTAAGACTAAGTACCGAGGAGACGCAAGAGGTACTGGAGAACGAGGCTGCGGTTCTAACGGGCCTCCCGCGGCCTTGAGGTGGGACTGAGTCCAGGCCGGAGACCTGGAGCAGCTTGGCAGCCGGGGGAGGCCAGGGGGCCTGGGGGAGGCTCGGGCCCTGGAGCCGTCCCTTGACCTAGGGTTCCATCCACTGGCCACCGACCCTTGTTTTCTGACTAAATGCCAAAGGTTGTCGTGGAAAAGAAATGAAATAGAAACGTGCGGCAGCGTTCAGTGTAGCACAGCACCGGGCACTTCAGAATCACCCGGGACGCACCTCCGCTGGCCTCCGGCGCGCGGTCAGGCGAGCGAGCCGAGTCCCTCCGGGCAGTGCATCTGAGCTGGGACACAGGGGGCCGAGGAAGGGGCACGGAGGGGGCTGAGGCCACCCCAGCCCAGACTCACTTTCCTTCTCTGACAGCTATGAGGCTGGGGCAGACGGTTCCTGTGGGAACACTCCACGCAAACATTATTGATTCAAGGATAACAAAAACTCGCCACCATCTCAAGACGGGCCCGCACGTGTCTGATATGTTTGTGGGGTTCCTCCTGCGTTGGGGGGCGGCAGCTCCCGGAGCCGGGGGCAGGAACTCTCAGGGGGCTTAGAAGACCCACACTCCTCCTCCATTGTGACGGCGGGCTTGCTTCTATGACAGCGTGGGTACTGCCCGTGGCCCCGCCTGGGAGCAGCTGAGGAAGATCAGGAGCGGCTCCAGGCGTGGAGAGCTCAGGAGGCGATGGGGAGATGAGGGAGCCCACCTCAGCCCCCCCAGTTCCTGCAGGACATGGCCAAAGGGAGACGCTTCAACCCGCCCTTAGACAAGGACGGAAGATGGGTGAGGAAGAGGGGCCCTGTCTTACCTCTCTCAGGCCTCATGGGCGTGGTCAGGGCACAGACCTGAGTCCCAGTCCCGCTTCTGCTGCTTACTGTGGCCTGACTTGGTAACTTACTTCACCAGCCTCAGTTTCTCCATCTATGAAATGGGAACCCAGTAGCACCTCCTCCTCACACCCCGGGTGCCGTCTGTCTCCTCTGCTAGAATATAAGCTTCGTGGGCGCTGGGACCTTGGTCTCTCTTATTCCCTGACTGCATCCCGAGTGCCGAGGGTGGGATCTGTGCCCAGGAGGGGCTCAGAAGACATCTGTCCGGGGAGTCGCCATCACACTGGAACCCTCTAAACACATTCTCTGGGCCTCCTGTCTGGTCCCCTTCGCCCCGCCAGGCTGTGAAATGGGAAGAGGCCAGAAATGCACCATTTCCCCATCTCGGTCATTAGTAAACGTCACCTTTTCATGCTCTTCCTCGGACCTCTCTCTCTCATGTCACTTGCAGAGCCTGGTGGGCATGTGCCCTGACTGGGAATCGAACCCTGACCTCCTGGTTCATAGGTCGACGCTCAACCCCTGAGCTCCGCTGGCCGGGCAGGGGAGGTATTTTTAACCGGCCACACTGCCACCCCAAACCGGGCCAGGCTTCTGTCACCAGGGAGGAAGCCAGAATGAACGGCTCATCTCCTATTGCAACCCCAGGAATGCGCCCAGGACCCCGTCTCAGCCGCACAGACAGTGTCTCCCCGAGTCTGTCTGCTTTGAGCCTTTGGTGGGGGCCTTTCTCCTGCCAGCACCTCGGAGCATAGGGAATCCTGCTGACCCTGAAGTTTCCCCAAGTGACTGTGGACGAGTTGGGAAAATGAGAGACATTCTTGGCTTTGGGCTGGTGGCCGCGGTAGAAGTGACCTTCGCTTTGCAGTTGACCTTGCTGGGGGCAGTCTGGCAGCTGCCAGGTGGGAAAGGCCTCCCACACCGTCACCTTCCTGTTTAGTATTTCAGTCCCTGAGAGGCTGGATGCAGCAACAGCTTCACCGCCAACGAGCTAAAGGCGCTATTTCACGGTTACCCCAGCGAACAGAGGGTTTATTTCACAGCTGCCAGGGTATAGCCATTAAGTACATATTTTAAAAGAGTGAAATTAAAATGCTAGAGCCATTTTTTACAGCGATTTAGCCCACAGACTCGCAGAATGCAAATGAACTCACATTGGCTGCCACGTAGGCAGGTGAAGGATCATTGCTGACGTGGGAAGGGCACCCACTGAGGGGAGGGGCCGCAGTGTTGGGACAGGGGGGCTGATGGGCCAGACTGGAGGAGGCCAGGGCAGGCCTCTGGGTTTGGGGGTCCTTTGTATGACTTATATTTACTCTAAACACATTGAAACCTATTACACCTCAGTTACTTTGGGTTACTCTCTCCTTCCCCTTCCTGTCACTCCTCCCGCCCCTCACCCCGGGTAACAATATTTACAACCAAGTGCTCATCTGATCAGATACAAGCATCTCTACCTGCAGAGGCAACTCAGATTGCTGCCTCCCAAGGTCACGTCCAGGGCCTGATCGATGAGGGCACACAAAGGCCCTGTCCCCTCGCCCCCAACTCAGGGCAACTCTGAGAGGCCGGCCATGTCCAGAGCGCTCTGCGGGGCTGGCGGGGGTGTGTCGGGTCAGGACCACCTCCCCTGCCCAGTCCTGTTTCCCTCCCTCCCTTTCCTACGGGATAGGAAGGCCCTTCCCCCAGTCACCTTCCCACTCTCTACCACCTGCCTCCTCACCTGGGGCCCTTCACGCCTCGGCTTCCCCGTGTCTGAGGGTCCCCCTCATGCCTGCAGGGGGCTGGCTCCCCCGTGAACATGGGCTGGGTCATGTTCCCAACTACAGGGAGCACCCTGAGCAGAAAGGTCTCACATTACACATGCGTGTGTCTTGGAGTTCAAGGGCCGCACCCTCGCACCCAGCTGGCCGGCCGCAGGAATCTTTCCCGGCTCCTGCGCAGCAGGGCGGCCCCCAAAACTGGAAACAACCGGCAGCAATGGCCTTGGGCCATGGACAGTATTTTTTGTCTTGGAAAGAACACTTCAAACCACGCCGTTCCCATCCCCTGCCAGAAGCACCCGAATTGCCTTTTAATCACGTTACGGAGGAAGCCCTGCTGCTTGGCTCAGGCATTCCGAGGTGCCTGGTTTTATTTTATTTTCTGTTATTTTATTTTTATTATTTTAAAATTGATTTTAGAGAGAGGAAGGGAGAGGGAGAGATAGAAACATCGGTGATCAGAGAGAATCATGGATGGGCTGCCTCCTGCACACCCCCTACTGGGGATCGAGCCCGCAAACCGGGCCTGTGCCCGTGACTGGAATCGAACTGTGACCTCCTGGTTCAGAGGTCAATGCTCAACCCCTGAGCCACGCCGGCCGGGCAGAGGTGCCTGCTTTAATCGAGGCGCGTGCTGTCTCCTAGTTCCCTCACATTGGAGTGACGCAGAAGACCCCGGAGTCCCTCACCAGCATGATGCTCAAAGAGCCCCACAACCCTCGTTTCTCCCGGCAAATAGACGAGAAGCTGCCGCCCATCTACAAAGCCCGGGAGAAGGTGCGTCCGGCGCGCTGGCCGTGGCTCTGGGGGCCGGGTAATTCCCCTCGGAAGGACCTGCTCACTGTCCATGCCTGGACTCCTGGATGCTGGTAGCCTCCCGCCTGGTCCCCTGGTCCCTGGCACCCGGGTCCTGTCTGCAAGGAAGGACTACCTCCCGGTCCAGACAATCACATCAGGCGGGTCTGTGGACCTTTGGTTCCAGCTCCCCGTTCATTAACACGCGTGTCCTGCCTCCCCGGCCAGTCCCCGAGCAGCTCGGGGCATGGAGGGGCCGGCAGGAGCGGCGGCGTGGATGGCACACCTGGCGGGCCCACCTGCCCCAGGGCCCAGAAGGCCTCAAAGCTCCTTCCCCGCTCTCGGGTCCACGAGCGATCTGTCACCGTTTTCTTCTCACCTCCAAAGCAGGGGTTTGAGAGGGAGTTATAATGATTAGCAATCAGGGGTGAGTGTCAAAGCCTTGAGGTGACGTGCGCGCCTCTGAGCTCACCCTCCTGGGCTGGTTCCATCCCCGGTGGTGGGTTCATCTTTTTTAAAAAATATCTTTTTATTGATTTCAGAGAGGAAGGCAGAGGGGGAGAGTGACAGAAGCATCCATGGTGAGAGGGAATCATGGACCGGCTGCCTCCTGCACGCCCCACACTGGGGATGGAGCCTGTAACCTGGGCCTGTGCCTGACCGGGAATTGAACTGCCACCTGGTGGTTCATAGGTTGATGCTCAACCACTGAGCCAGGCCGCTGGCAGGTGGCTTCATTCTTACTCGGTGTCACCTCGCCTCCCGTCTGCCTCGCGCCACTGTAGGCGGTCCCCAGAGCAGGCTGGGCCTGACGTGCGCCTCTCTCTGCTCCTTTGCCTTCCCAGCAAGCGACCCACAACAACTTCCCCTTCTCCATACACGACAACCGGCACAGCCTCCGGAGTTCCGGATTCTACGTTGACTCCGTGAGTATCCTCAGGGCTCCTGATGTCCCGAGATGTGCTGAGCACAGAGCACTAACCTCAACATGGGAGCAGGGTCATTATAAAGCCTCCTAAGAGGCCACAGAAAAACAAATGCACGAAACTCTCCAAGTCCCAGACTGCCTCTCTCTCTCTCTCTCTCTCTCTGGGTC